ATAATTTTGTTAAATAAATTATGGAAGTAAATTTTTTATGATAAAATTCTATTCACAAATTTTACCAAAAATTTAGCATCGTGTCAGACGGCCTTAAGGTATATTTTCTAGAATGACACAAATGTTTGTATAAATTGTATTTCATAAGTAAAACTAAGTGGTATTTCAAATTAGTGTCTGGTATACCACATTTATTGTACTACATACTTTATTATCTATTTTGTATGTGTGATAATGACAAACAGTTTAAAATGTGAAGTATTTAAAACCATCGTATAACCGATCATTAAGAAATAACAACTAACAAAATTAGAAATTTTATTTATATAAAGAAGACTTTCAAATTGACCCCACAATTATCGAAAATTTTAATCCAGTGCGCGAATAATTTACGCGATCGTCGCGTCGTTGAGAAATTAAAAATTTCGCGAAAGCATTAAGAGATCTTTTTCCTACCGAAATGCGCACCATTCAAATTACGTACGTTCACACCAAAATCGGAGTGTAAAACCCTTGAATTTAATGAAGCAAAAAGAAGCGATTACTTGAGTCGGAGTGCTTTGCTGTGAACTATAACGAGAGAAGGGTAAAAGCGGCTATGTTGAATTGATGTATGAAAAACTGTTTCACATGTGAATTATTCTGCAAGTTCGGACAATTTGCGTCAAAAATTTAGGGAACTCTGTAACGGCTTAAGTGAAATTGAAAATGGAAGCGACAGAAGCTGTTTACAAGGAAATCGCAAGTAAAACAAGTGACGTAGATCACTTCAAAAAGGCTTTGTTTATTGCGGTATTCTTTTAGACGGCGAAGCAGTCTTTTATAAATTTTTGCATTCAAATTTGGAAACGTTATATGCATATTCTCAATCCCTTAAATGTAAATATGTATTGCGGGTACGACGGTTGGAGGGGCAGAATGACGTTAAGAATGAACATTTTATTAACCTAGTGACAAATCCAAAACGTAATTTAGGAGATGAGCAATGGATTCGTAAAGTTACGCGGCTCAGCATCTTCGACAATGGCTGGAGGCACTTGGGTTTTCGCGGATCGTAAACCAGATTACTTCCTCACCTTCACGCAGTGCGACGACTGCACCGAAATCCAACTCGTCGTTTGATACGGAGTGGGAGCGGGAGGGTGTTTGGAAGGTAATTTCGGTTCAGTTAAATATCCGATCGGGTGTGCGTTGGCTTTTCAAAAACGCTTATTGGCTTGGAAAAGGCAACACGTGAACTGGAAGGGGGGCTACACGAAATACCAACACAAGGCACGCAAGGCGCAACCCGAAATAAACCTATCCCAAAACAATTTACCACCAACGAAGAAGAGAAACACATCCTTCAGTAGGAACGGTAAGCTACAGTAGTTCACGCATAGTGCTCCATGTGTGTTTTCTTTGTGAACCCGTCTCGAACCAGCTCTGCAGAAATATATATATATATATATATACGCTCTGTATATACTGTTGGTATATATAATACCTGCATATATATGCTATTGTGAAATATGTATATTCGTTTGTTTACGCAGACATAAGCTTTGAATCTATCATTTTCCCGGCTGTCTAGATCGAAGTAATGTCTTAAGAATGCGTTGTACATAAAAAACTAAATATTTGTCCATTTCTTCATTTAAAAATAAAATTTTACTTATTGAAGACAAATATCGGGGTGAAATGGACGAACCTTTTTAGGTTATATTTACTATTTGTTCCAGATGACTCGCACATATACTAAGAAATTAGGAGCTTATGGGAAGAAAAACTACAACTCCGATTATATGAAGAGGGCTGTAACAGCTGTGAAGGCGAAAAAAATGCACTAGAAAAGCGTCTGAACAATATGGAGTCCCCTACACAACTTTGAACCACCGCGTAAATATAGACATTCTAAAATCTACGGGGATAACCAGCATTGACATATGAAACAAAAAGTGTTTTTTGATGGTTTTCAGCTGTGTGCCGAGTGGGGTATCCCGCTAAAACCAATCGACATGCGGTTCAGCAATTGCGGCATATTTCGAATACTTGCGAAAACCCCTAACGACATTCGCCGTCTAATGTACTCAATTACGACGAAACAAATTGTGTGGACGATCCTGGAGCTGTTAGCGGGGCAAAATTGTGTGACGAGCAGTTTCCAAGATTCCTAAGATGCGAAGATTATTCCGTGTAATATTACTCTTAAAGCAAGTGAAAGAAGCGAAGTATTTTTCTATTATACTTCACAGTACACTCGATTGTTTTTAACAGGTGCCAAATAAATTCTGCTGTCTCCAAATTATTTTAGAGCAAAAACGTATTAAGTTTTTTGTAGAAAAAATTTTGTTGCGCCAATCAACCGTATTAGTTTTCAATTTTGTTCATATAATGACGGAAAATTGGAAAAACAAAACCCGCATCTTTTCCAATAGTTTCTAAAACAAAAAAATAGGTCCTTTGGGAACGGCGTTACAAATATTTTATCGGGTGCCGTTGCTGTTGTATTTTTGCACCCTTTGCCACTTTCTTGACGGCAGGTCTTTAAAAAAACTGACAGGGAAGAACAAGAAGTACCCAAGACAACTTTTCAGCAAGCAACACCCTCCAATTAGAGCGATGTAACGTAACCACCAGCATTTCACCACCACCGTTTGGACTGTTTATTGGCATTTACTCATGGACAATTTTTAGGTCAGTTTAACTATATAAACTACAAATGCTAACAGGTTTCATAGACATATATAGGTTTAGGTACAACATGACGTTTCAAAACATACGTCGAAACCGTAATACAAGTTTTACTTGTCCTTCGTAATCAGGCATAGCAGACGATCCCTTACAACAAATGACTATATGTATGATGTAATAAAAGTACTAGTAGGTAATACCTACCGCTAAATAAAATCATAAAATTTTAGTTAAATAGTGCCCAACGTTACTTGAAACGTAGAATTGCGGAGCACTAAACCGGCGTAAAGTCATGTAATAACTAATGTGAAAAAAATTGAATTTTCATCTTTTGGTTAGCGGTGACGATCACGTATCTCTTGTACTATTGTTCATTCATTTATTATAAGAAACTATACACAGCGCGCTACTGACGTCAGAGTACGCAGTCTCGTTGCAGGGTACGCTTTCTAGCCTCTCGCTGTTAGCGATTAGAAATTACCTCTTAAATCAATTAATAATTTTTTTTCGATTTTTTGAAGTGTTATATGGGTTAGATTAGGGCTCTTGGGTCTACGATGGTAGGGATGATCAGATATGTTCCAAAATGAATATACAGGCTCTACACCCCCCAAAATGTCAAATGTAAAATTTCAACCCCCTACGGCAACGCATAAGGGTGGTTGTATAGGGGTGAGGGGTTGAAAAAACAGTTTTTGCGAACAAAGAGCGTCGTCATAACTTTTTTTACATCTTGTACACGTGTGCAAAATTTCAGGTTCCTACGAGTATTTTTTTATTTTTCCCAAGAGGGAACTAATCTCTTGCGGGAAGTTTCAACTAGATGTGGGGTCTCGAGTACTTCCACTCTGCCCACGGACCTGAAAACTCATCCGAGGACGGTGGAGAGCGAGCAACTTAAATTATTTTCAACTTAAGGTGAGCAGTTGTGGTCAAGATAATTTTCATATGATTTTGTTCCTTGAAAAGGTAAGTTTTGGATTATTTAAAAATAATGTAATCAGAATCCCTCATTTTGGAAAAATCATTGTTAAGCCTCCTATAGAGAAGATATACAGTGCACTTGCTCGTTTCAGGCAGCCGGCGTCACTATGGACACCCTTCCCGTGTATTTGGGTTCGAACGACACCCCAGCAGCTAAACGTGAGCGAAAGGCGAGAGCAATTTTTCTTTTAGAGAGTTACGGCGTAGTACCCAGATGACATGGCGGATCAGATGTTCCCTGCCCCGTTTGCGGAGAAGTTTTTGGTACCGTTTTGGATAGAGCGAGATATGGTTGGAGATTTAAGTGTCCAAATGGACATCGGCTGACCCCCACCAGCAACACCTTCCTCTTCAATGCTCGCCTTGAAGATATCGGCGCCGGTACCATTCTACGCATTATTCAGTGCTTTGTAGAAAGTAAGAATATTTTACTGCTTTCAAATTTATCTGATTATTATAAGAAGCTATATGTATTATAAATGATTCTGCATTAGGGGTCAGCGTAAAAGCCTGTGAATGTCACCTTCAGCTGGCGCATGACACCGTCATTGCGTGGTACAGCTATTATAGAGATCTCGCTCGGAAGATCGCTTGGCACGACTACCATCAGATTGCGGGCCCTACGGATGTGGTGGATTTCGACGAGACACATCTTTTAAAGAGGAAGTACCACGTCGGTCTGCAGATGATGTACAGGCACATCTGGTTGTTTGGAGGAATACCCGAACAACGAACCAAAGGTTTGGTGTCTTGGTTGATTATCGTGACCAGGACACATTGCTTGCAGTTATGCAACAGTACATTGGTAGCGACTCGTACATATGCTGCGATCAATGGGCGGCTTATAGGCGAGTCGATGATGTTTTTGCAGGTCACGGCACGGTTAACCACAGTGTCCACTTCGTTAACCCACCGAGGGACGAAGATCCGATTTGGGTTCCTGAAGGAAGGTTCCACATCGGACTACCTCCTCAACCTAATGTTTCTCCTTTCAGGATCCACACCAACTGAACGGAGAGATCGTGGCGAGACCTGAAAGAACAGCTCCGAACACTGAACACCTTGGACCTCTGAGACGCGTATATCGGGGAGTGGATGTACAGAAGAAACGTGTTAAATGGAGTAATCGGCCCAAGTGCACGTTTCGAGCGGTTTCTTCGCGACATTGCACGAGCCTATCCCGGTGTGGGACGGAGACCAATGGTCACCGTGTTAAGACGAGTGTGAATGCCA